TTGGGGATACATGGGGACAGTTATGGACATAGACATGGGGACACTGGGACATACTGGGACACATGGGGACACTAGGCACATTGAGAGACATGAGACACACACTGGGAGACTTGGGGACACTGAGACACTAGGGACACTGGCTGGGGGACATGGGAACATCGTGTCTCCATGTCCCAATGTCTCCCAATGTCCCTATGTCTCACAGCATCCCCATGTGTCCCAGTGTCCCCTAGTGTCTCAGTGTCCCCATGTTTTCCAGTGTCCCCAAGTGTCTCAGTGTCCCCATGTGTCTGTGTCCCCAGGTCTCCCAGTGTCTGTGTCCCCATGTGTCCTAGTGTCTCAGTGTCTCCTAGTGTCTGTGTCCCCATGTGTCCCCTAGTGTCTCAGTGTCCCCATATGTCCCCTAGTGTCTCAGTGTCCTCTAGTGTCCCGGTGTCCCCATGTTTTCCAGTGTCCCCAAGTGTCTCAGTGTTCCAAGGTCTCCCAGTGTCTGTGTCTTAGTGTCTCAGTGTCCCCTAGTGTCTGTGTCCCGTAGTGTCTGTGTCTCCTAGTGTCTCAGTGTCCCCATGTGTCCCTGCTGCCTTTCCCCCCATCCCTCACCTGAGCTGTAGAGCTGCTGTCTGGACTATGCTGTGTAGCTGCTCCCCCACAGATCAGTGAGTAGTAGAGAGAGGCAGGGATATTCTGTAACTTCCTATACCTGCCTCTCTCCACACACAGTGACCCCTACTGGCCGGTGCTGGTATTGCAGAGTAATTTCCATTTATTCTGAGAAAATTACCTGCATTTGTATTGCTGGTATTACTGCAATACCGGCACGGCCAGGCAGCCTCAAATACCGGCTGTGCCAGTAAAATACCAGTCAGGTGGCAAACCTAAGAGTAGTGTGTGTAAAACAAACAAAAAAAAATTTTTTTTTTTTTTTTTTTTTAAATGGGCCTATTCCATGGGCCTGGGCCTGGAGCTGCAGCTCCATCAGCCCCTATGTTAATCCGGCCCTGATTTCACCCATTCATCAATCTGTCCAGATGGGACTGTAAGGTTGTTGCAAGGGTTCTTGATGATGTCTGGCATTCGCAGATGAGCAATCCAGTCTATACCGAAGGTCCTCTGTGTTTCAAAATATATATTGGTAGTCTCTTTGTCAAACCATTGTATGATACCTGTACCTTTGCACAACCAAGTGGGTGGAAGACTTGCATGGAATATATCTGCAGCTTGATTGGGGTTGGGCGGATAAGTTGCCTGTATATGTAATTGTCTCCAGTGTTTTTGTGTGATATCTGAAACTGCCGCTCCTAAATTAACATCCATCTTTAATGCCTTTCCTGCAATAGTTACTTCTACCATCATTGCAGGGTTTGAAGAGTGTAGGTGATGTATAGTTAAACTGTGCAATGGTTTGTGAGGATATTTATGGGGTGGTAAATATTAAAAATAATATTTTCATAAAAATTATCAAAATTTATTTTAATAATTTTTATTATACCAAAATTTATATCTTGGCACTGTCTCCGAATTATGATACTATAAAGCTGAGAATTACCCACAATTTTTAATTCTCTTAGATCCTAGAG